CAGGAAAGTATTTCTTCTTCTTCTTCTTCTTTTTTTTTTTTTTTTGAGACAAAGTCTCAGTTTGTCACCTTGGGGAGAATGGCATGATGTCATAGGTAACAGCAACCTCAAACTCTTGGCTCAAATGATTCACTTGCCTCAGCCTCCCAAGTAGTGGGGAGGCGCCTGTAGGCCCAGGCATCTGCTACAATGTCCAGCTATTTTGAGAGACAGGGTCTCACTCTTGTTCAGGCTGGTCTTGAACTCCTGAGCTCAAGTGATCCACCTGCCTCAGCCTTCCAGAGTGCTAGGATTACAGGTGTGAGCCACCACGTCCCGCCTTATTTATTTTTATAGATATGAAATCTGGCTATGTTGCCCAGGTGGGTCTGGAATGTCTGTCTGGCCTCAAGTGATCCTACCTCTTTGGCTTCCCAAAGTGCTGGGATTATGGGAATTAGCCACTATACCAAGGCTCTTTTTTTTTGGGGGGGGGGCCAGGGCTGGGTTTGAACCTGCCACCTCAGGCATATGGGGCCAGGGCCCCACCCTTTTGAGCCAGAGGCACCTCCCATACCAAGGCTCTTAAAAAACTTTTATCATGGCTTGGCACCCATAACTCAGCGGGTTCGAACATGGCCCAGGCCTGCCAAACAATAACAACTACAAAAGAATAGCTGAGCTTTGTGGTGGGCCCCTGTAGTCCCAGCTACTTGGGAGGCTGAGGCAAGAGAATCGCTTAAGCTCAAAAGTTTGAAGTTGCTATGAGCTGTAACACCATGGCACTCTCCCCATTGTGAGACTCTGTCAAAAAAAAAAATTTATCATACAAAATTCCAGGGCTCGGTGCAGTGGCTCACACCTGTAATCCTAGCACTTGGGAGGCAAGGCAGGTGGACTGCCTGAGCTCACAGGTTGGAGACCAGCCTGAGCCAGTTGGAGACCTCGTCTCTAAAAATAGCCAGGCGTGGTGGCATGTGCCTGTAGTCCCAACTACTTGGGAGGCTGAGGCCAGAGAATTGCTTAAGCCCCTGAGTTTGAGGTTGCTGTGAGCTATGACACCACAGCATTCTACCAAGAGTGACAAACTGAGACTGTCTTAAAAAAAAAAAAATTGAAACATCCTAAAGCAGAATATAATTAACCTCATCTACATACTTATGTCAACACTTGTTTTTTTTTTTGTTTGTTTGTTTTGAAACAGAGCCTCAAGCTGTCCCCCAGGGTAGAGTGCAATGGCATCACAGCTCACAGCCACCTCCAACTCCTGGGCTCAAGCGAGTCTCCTGCCTCAGCCTCCCAAGTAGCTGGGACCACAGGCGCCCGCCACAACGCCCAGCTATTTTTTTGGTTGCAGCTGTCATTGTTGTTTGGTGGGCCCGGGCTGGATTCGAACCCACCACCTTAGGTGTATGTGGCTGGCGCCTTAGCCACTTGAGCCACAGGCGCCAAGCCTTATGTCAACACTTGTTAACAATACACAGCCATGGCTCAGTGCCAATGAGAATGCCTGGCCTCTATATCCATAGCAGATACATCTGTGGTTTGGTGAGGGTGGAAACAAAAATCACTTGATTTGGCCAGGCTTGGTGGTTCATGCCTGTAATCTTAGCACCCTAGGAGGCCAAGGCAGGAGGACTGCTTGAGCTCACCTGTTCAAGACCAGCCTGAGCAGCTCAGCGCCCGTAACTCAGTGGTTAGGGCGCAGGTCACATACACCAGGGCTGGTGGGTTCAAACACAGCCAGAGCCTGCCAAACAACAATGACAACTACAACAAAAATGACAACTCCAACCTGTGAGCTCAGTGCCACTGAGCCAATCTCAGTGCCAAAGAATGAATAATAATCATGGAAAACTAGTACAGTATGTGCCAGCTATTACTCTAAACACTTTATATGTATTAGCTTGTTTAATACATTTACTTCAACCAACCTAGGAGGTAAATGTTATTAGCCCTATTTTATAGATGAGGCAGAGAATGACTAAGTAACTGGCCCAAGGCCACTCAGCAGCCAACTGAATGAGCCAAGATTCAAACCCAAGCAGTCAGATTGAAATTATGTGCTTTCAAGTTACGCCTGAGACTAAAACAACACGAAATTTGGGGAAGATGAAAACCTGTTTGTGCTGAGTCACAAAAGGCACTGGACCTTAAATATTTCCCTTTTTAGCTTACCCTAAGATAGACATCACTTACAAGTATATCCTGCAATCTAGGATATGTTTAACCTAGGACTGGCAAATGACTAAAATGAATTTCCCAGCTCGGTGCTTATAGCTCAGTGGCCAGGGCGCCGGTCACATACACCGGGGCTGGTGGTTTCAAACCCAAACAGGGCCTGCCAAACAATGACAACTATAACAAAAAAATAGCCGGGCATTGTGGCAGGAGCCTGTAGTCCCAGCTACTTGGGAGGCTAAGGCAAGAGAATCGCTTAAACCCAAGAGTTTGTGGTTGCTGTGAGCTGTGACGCTACGGCACTACCCAGGGCGACATGGTGAGACTCTGTGTCAAAAATAGAAAAAAGAAAAAAAGAAAAGAAATTCCCTTCACAGAGGGATCTATTCGTGTCTTTTTTCGTCTGCCTGCTTCTCTCCTTTGGACATGTTGTCTGTCCAGTTCCAGGGATGTTGCTACCGATAATCAAGCTCCAGTAGCCTAGTAATTTTTCTCAGTAGTCATTCATCCAACAAATATTTGAGCATCAACTCAGAGCCAGACATTGTGCAAGGCAGACAAGACAAAGATGAACAAGACAGACAAGATCCCTGCTCTCTTATAATTTACATTTTAATTTGGGGTGTGGGGAGATTCACACTCTAGAAGAGGGAATTAGGGCACGGCTGGAGGTACGTGGGCAAGGGGAAAGAAAAGCAGGCGGAATCTGGAGCAGGCGAAGCTTTCAGGGCACGCACGCCCGAAAGGCGTTTGCATTTCACTCACTGCAATTTTGAACCTCAAAGGCCAGATTACCCTAGGCTGTAAATCTCTTGACCAATTTAATCCTGTCAATCTAACCTTCAGCGCGCGCGCGCGCGCGGACACACACACCCATTTGTCGAGTCACTTAGCCAACGCGGTCACTTAGCCTAGAGGTCACCTCAGCCCCTGGAGTCATCCGCTTCCTGAACCACTTCGGCCCTTGGGGTCTGTCTGCCCTTGAGTCTCTGGTGGGCCCCTTGGCCAGCTAGGTCACCCTAGTGCCACGCCCCCCTAGCCCGCGGTTCGGCCTGCACGTTACGCTTTGTTCGCAGAAGCAGGTTTTCGAAACGCCGCTCCCTCTAGACTCCAGCTGTTTTCTTGCCAGTGCTGCCCCCGGCGGCGCATCGCAGCCCAGGAAGGGAGTGCCCGTAGCCGCCTCCTCAGCCTTCTACCGAAACGCGGGAGCGGGCGCGGGCAGCTCACGCCCAGCGGTCTGGGCCGGGCTCCTGATTGGCGGTACCGTGTGACGTCTCACTGGGAGGGCCCCGGCGGCCGCTGCGAGCCGGGTCCCTGCGCATGCGTAGAGAGAGCGCGCTGAGCCGAGGGGGTGGTGGCCGGCCGCTTCTCCCGCGTCCGCCATTTTGTTTCTGTGGCTATTGGGAACCGGCTGGGTAAAACCGCCCCGGAGGCGCGACGCTCTTCGGAGTTCGGTACTTGGTGTGACTGCGGGGGTCAGTGAAGACCCGTGGGGCTGCAGAGCCACCACGTTCCAGGTCAGGAGTCACCGGAGGCACCCACGGTACGCTGGGCAGCCCAAGAATCCCCAGGCGGCCTCCGCTGCGCCTGAACTTCGCCCACCCAGATCCCTGGTCTCTGCCCCGCATCCCCGGCCCGGCTGTCTCCGTGAGGCGGCCCCGGAGCAGGCGGGTGGCGGCGAAGGATGCTGCGGGCCCGGAGCCGAGAGGAAGGTGCTGGTCCTGCCCTCTGAGCGCGCCTCGAGGTGTGCCGAGAGGCCCTTCCTCGGCCTCAAAGCCGTCTGCGGGCAAAGGCTTCCAGAGCAGGCGACAGCGGCCGCCGCCCCGACGCGCCACAGAGCCCCCGGCCCGCCACCATGTCTTCTGCAAGGTTCGATTCCTCAGATCGCTCCGCCTGGTACATGGGGCCTGTGTCTCGCCAGGAGGCGCAGACCCGGCTCCAGGGCCAGCGCCACGGCATGTTCCTCGTCCGCGACTCCTCCACCTGCCCCGGGGACTACGTGCTGTCTGTGTCCGAGAACTCGCGGGTCTCTCACTACATCATCAACTCACTGCCAAACCGGCGTTTTAAGATCGGGGATCAAGAGTTTGATCATTTGCCGGCCCTGCTGGAGTTTTACAAGATCCACTACCTGGACACTACCACCCTAATCGAGCCTGCGCCCAGGTACGCGAGTGCCCGCCCTTGTTGGGTGTGCAGTCACCCCGAGGACGGCGGGAATGGGATCAGTGAAAGAGTGTGTGGGTAGTTGCGGGGGGTGGGGGTGGGGGTTTGAACTCATTCCCCCCCATTCTGAACCAAATTCTTTTCCAGAAGGTATTCCTAACGGAAGGTTAGTATCGGGATCTGGGTCACAGAATGAGCGGATGCGTTTTAAATATGTTTAATGATGAATGCACGGTTAAAATGCACGCTTCTTGCATTCGTTGTTTTATCTATTTAGCTGTAATACTAACGCAGTGTGGTGTTGTTTAAAAAACCTTTTTTGGAAAATCTGAAGATAGCGAGGAACCCTCCCACCCCCCTCCCCTCGCCAGAGTATACGTGCACACGTTTCCCCACCACCATTCAAGTTCTTGAAACTCCAGGTTAAGAACTCCGGGGTTGCATCCTTTGGAACAGTCGCCAAATGAAAATGCTTTAGCGTTTAGAAGCAGAGAACTTTAACTGAAATGTCAGAATATTGATATTTTGGTGCCAAGTTGGAAGCTGGCCAGACCCCACCTCTTTAATATACATTAGTTACAAAGAAAAGAGAAGGTGCATTGGGTTGGGCAAGGACTTTTTTAAGTTTCCCCCCACAAGGTGAACCATTAATAGGGCAGAGATCAATTTCATTAATTTCCAGGAGGATTAAGGCTAGAATGTTATTAAAGGAGAATTTTGAACTGCAGTTACCTTAATTCAATCCTAGTTACATTTTGAAGTAACCCTAATGATTGTATATGTATTTTTTATTTTTTAGTATCTATTTTAAAGTTAAAAACCCAAAGTGACATTGGTTATCAAGCCTCCTCTCTTTCAAGTAAAATGCGTTATTTTATTTATTTGCTTTCATTTGCCTTAGTATTTCATCAAGTTTCTTTTCTTTAAATTATGCTCAATATGAGCTGAAAAATTAACTATGATTTTTTAAAGTAAAAGATATATTTTTTTTTTTTTTTTTTTGAGACAGAGCCTCAAGCTGTCCCCCTGGGTAGAGTGCCCTGGCATTACAGCTCACAGCAACCTCCAACTCCTGGGCTCAAGCGAGTCTCCTGCCTCCGCCTCCCAAGTAGCT